AACGTTTTCGTCGTAACAGCCAGTTGTCGGTTGAGGGCGTCACTTAAAAAGTTACATCAGCGGTAAAATACGAGTATCTTAAAAGCAGGTCAAGGGGCACAAAATGCCAGTAGCGTTTGGTAAAAACATTCATATTTCAGCTTTGTCTGGATTCAAATGGATTTCCCTGTTGAATGTTAGGTAAACTTTATATCTCCGAATACTTATGTTTGATAATAGTTTTATAGTCACTGTGGAGAGAAAGTGTATAATTTGCTGCGTGTTTCAAGGTGCTTGAATGTGGGTGCTTGGGTTAGGGTTAGGTTTGGTGGGACATGATTGAGGGAGGGGGCGGGGATGATTTAATGTTGAGTGAATTCTGTACTGCTGTTCAGTGCCTTTTTTTGCTTTTGAAAGGGGATCGCGTTTGCTGTTTTAAATCGCCTTCTGTTTTGTTACTGAAACGGAGGTGAAAAAACCCAAACAAAAATCAACGAAGGGTGAAAGGGGGGGGGGGTTGTGCTGAAGCGTCATTGTGACCCCTCCACTTGACAGGCAAACACAGCACACACTATGCCTGTCATGCACTAGATACACCTCAATTTACAAGTAGCTTGAGATCTTTCTTGAGGTCACTTTCAGTAAAACTCCTGCTAATGATGAGCTTACGTGAGAAAATCACCTAATTTTGCTTGGCTTTGTGCGCTTAATTTAACTGATTTCATGTAAAAGAATAGGCTGACATTTAGAGATGATTAAATCCCAGCCTCTTTGCTTCTGTCTAGCACAGTTTTAGAAATTTATAAGAATAGTCATAGGCTTAGTATGAATTATTCTGTTTTTATATAAACAAGTTTGCGATTCTTTCTTCAACTGAAATTCCTTGAAAGAGGCTCAACCTTGGGCTGTTAGGATGCATTTTGTGCTAATAAGTTTTATTCTACATCCGTGCACTTCCACCAAGACGTATCACCACAAATAAACACACGTATTTGCACACTCACTCACTCCACGAACAGATAATATATAGACAGACACACATACACACAAACATATTCTCATACACACCTATCAATCCTCATATACACATGTATACTTAGACACACTCTCACAAACATACATACATATTCACAAACACACGCACATACACATACATGTACACACACACTCCCTCATAATGCATAATATCATCTATCATATTAACCCCCCCTCCACACACACACACAACACACATACACATGCACGCACGCACACCCTCTTGCTATTTTTAGACAAAAAGGCTATTACTTAAGAGAAGGTGCCGAGGCGGGGCGGGGTGG